GAGTAATGCATCCGGAGATGATAAGGCTATGGGGGGAAAACAACACAGCATAAAGAAGATAAGGAAGTAGGAGTGGAAAGTTATGTTAAGTAGAATGGTCAGGGAAACTGTCTGTAAGAAGAAGAAGAGTAGACAATACTGCAAAGAGAAGAAGGGATTCCTAATGGAGAAGTAGCAGGTGCACAGACTGGGAGAGGGTGCAAGTGTCTTTAGAGTTAAAGAACAGCAAGGAGATCAGAGTTGCTACAGTGCAGGGAGGATGTCGATGCAAACCACACAGGGCTGTTTGTGGAAATTTTTTCTCCAAGTGAGGTGCTGGTATGGCCAGGGCGTGGGTGGTGGATGTAGTGAGAAATGTCTAGACATACATAGAAGAGGTGCTGGTAGAATTTGCCTGTGATTTGGATTATGTGGTATGAAAGATTCTTTGTAAAAGATATTGGGGTTCCCAGGTGCTTCACCTGAACTACTTGAAGAAAGGGGGTACCACCATTGCAGACAGAGAAGAGCAGGGGAGGCACCATCAGGGGCATGTCACAGGTCTATTTCTGTTACATCAAATTTAAGTTGCTGATTAGACATCTAAGTGGACATGATCAGATAACAGGTAGCCAATATTCAAACTTCAAGCTTTTAGGAAGTTGCTTGGTTCTTATGTCTCCTCATGGACAGCAAGAACCTATGTCTTCAACAGTGAGTCCTCTTCTAGGGTCCCTAACACCTAGTAGGTACTCAGAGTACACTTACTAAAGTTTGTTAAAGATGCAAAATCTGGAATGTGTCCTAATGAATGCTGATCAATAATGATTTGTGGCTCTCAGCACCATAGGGAAAGACCTACATGGGTCATCAGTGCAAGGCATTGACAGGCAAATTGTTCACTATATCATGACACAGAAATCACACTGACTATTTAATTTCCAAAATAGTCCCCATTTGTAAATCTCTTCTCCAAGGGAATTTCAAACTAACAGACTTACCCATATTTATTCTCATTGAAAAAGCCCTCGTTGGGGTGGAGGGAGTTGGAGGCATGACTCAAGCACGAAGCCCTGAGTTCAAACCCCAGTACCAAAAGAAATTCCTCATTGGGAGTTCTTCATTAACTGTTAATGATCAGCTTATCTTTAAGAATGTTTACGTGCTTATAACAATCCTAATTATAAAAATAGCTTTGTTATGAATACTACAGTATGAGATATGTGCCACAGATTTTGAAAAATTTTCCCAATGAAGAGAAAAACATTTTTTATTTCACAAACATTCAAAGGAAAACAACAACAATCTGCAGCTCATTCAGGCCAGATAATTAGTGGGGAGAAAAACAGCATTTGGCCCAGCCTGGACGATCTGATCCACTGCCTGCAGTGGTCAGGTTATTGAAATAATCTTTCACTTCTAACTTGGCTTGCACAGAACCAGCTGTGCTGCTCCTCTAGAAGGCAAACCCAAAACTGAGGCAGACAGGACCAAAGACAAGCCATTGAAATAATGGAGAAGAATTCCCCAGGTCAAAACACATCCCATAATAAAAGTCCCATTAACATCAGGTTCTTTTAGTGTACATCTCAGATATTTCTCTTTCATTACTTTCTTTTGATGAATTTTTGGTAGGCTGTTCTAGCTGTAGGCCACATGACGGTGTTTAAATTTTAAGATCTGTCTTTAGGGTTTTGAGCAGAGGGAACACTGAACTTCTAAACTGACCAAAAATATTGTGGCATCTTTAATGGTAAGCATGTCCGTCAACATTATAGCTTTTATAGTAATCAATACCTGTAATGAAGACCTTGAAGACATTTCTTCTTTGTGGACCTACAAATAGTTTGCTAGCATATAAAAACCTCAGGTAGATTTATCTACACATCTGTGATAGATGTTATTTTCAGAAAATGAAATACTGGCTTCTCTGAGGAGTATATATGATACAGCTCACACACCAAGGCCTGTCCATCAGTAGGTGTCAGGCTGTCTGCCAGCAAAGAGGCAGATTGCCCACGAGCAGGGAATCAATCATCCAGGAGTATACAGAGCTGAAGGAGAGGCCAGTGTGTTTGCACATTGAACTCTTAGTAGTATGAATGTCACATTATCTCTGATAGGTATTAGGCAAGAAGAAACAAACAGTGAGCCTGGTAGTTCTTATGAGATATTTACACTTGAGAACACTGTTTTTGTGACTTGGAAATGCAACTAAACAACCCCCACTTGAAGAGGATTTGTTCCTTCTTATGTTACTAAGGGCTTTAAGAGGTTTGGGAGAGGATCTATGGAGTCTGTTCCAGATGGGTCCTCCCACGTACTACTCTGGTGGGCATCCTCATTGGATACTGTAGCTACTCTGTATATCTCACATGTATATATGCAAATATAGGTTGGGAATCCCTAATCTAAAACTTCTTGAACACCACCTAAGACTCTCAAAAAAGTTTCAGATTTTGGATCATTTCAGATTTTTAGGGATACTCAGTCTATATAGTCTAGGCACATATTCTAAAATCCAGAAAACTCTGGAATCTGAACTAGTTCTAGTCCCAAGCATTTCTGTCTGTGTTATAAATATACTTTTGTAACTAAACATCAGCCTTGTCACACACTTACTAAGGGTGGCTAGAATTGCAGATATAAGGAGGATCCTACGTCACAATTTTCTGTACCACGAAACAAGATATTTCAAGTCAGACACACCGTTCTTAGCAGTTATGTGAGTGCTTGTAATGTCTTTGTTCAGAGGTAAAGATTAGGAGGCATAGGAAAAAGAAAATGCATTTGGGGGCCAAAAACTTGGATCAAATCCCAGTTCCATCAGCAAATAGGCGTGATATTAGGGAGATGATTTAATCTATCTGAAATTATTTGTAAAATTTATAAAAGTCTACTAGAAGCCAGGCACCAGTAGCTCACACCTGTAAGTCTAGCTACTCAGGAGACAGACATCAGGAGGATCTCAGTTCAAGGTCAGCCCCAAGGGAAAAAGTGAGAACTTATCTCAAAAATCCCCCATATATAAAAGGGCTAGTGGAGTGACTCACGTGATCAAGTGTCTACCTAGTCAGTGTGAGCCCCTGAGTTCAAACCCAGCACTGCGGCGGGGGGTGAAAGGGGGGAGGAAGCCCACTTGGTTTCACAGCTGCTGTACTTTGGAATGTTCAAAATAGGCCCCGAACATGAGGTTCTGGACCATCACCCTTTCTTTATCTGACTCAGTACCTTTTTTTTTTTTTAAATCTGTTTCTGTCCAGTGCTATTAAAAAAATTATAATTTTTCCAGAGTTTGCTTATATAATTTTTGTTCGGAGTTTCTAGTTGTCATCAACAGGAGAGTTGGTCCAAATTTCCTAGTGGTCTACATCTAGAAGGATCATTGAAAATGGACTTTTAAAGCTTCTCTCTTGTTCTCTTTTTTTAAAATAAAGTTGAAGATGCCAGGTTCAGTGGCTTATATCTGTAGTCCCAACTGCTTAGAAGGTGGAAGAAGAAGGATCATGATTCATGTCTGGCCAAAAAGTTTGAGAACCTATCTGAAAAATAAAGCAAAAAGGGCTGAGCTCCAGTGCTAGAGTATCCTGCTTAGGAAGCATGAGATCCCGAGTTCAATCCCCAGTATCACCAAAAATAGTAATAAAGTTTAAAAAATTAGATATTCACAAGAATTAAACTGTTAAAAAGATCAAGTGCATTTCAGCGTGACTTGGCTGGCCTATTTGCAGAACCTATGCACACCACCCTCTCCTTGCCTTTTTTCACGTCTGTTTCTGGAAATCTCTTTTCTTTGCAACACAACTCTGCTTTACTCTCTTTGTTTTTGAACACCTAGCACAGCTTATCCTAATCTAAGAAGATTTCTTACTTGCCTTTTCTTCCAAACTGGTGTGTTCTTTCCTCTGCCTTCCAATAGCTTACTTGCTTTTGTTTGCTTCATGGTACTGGAGTTTGAACTCAGGGCCTTGTGCTTGCTAGGCAGGTGCTCGACTATTTTATACTATGCAGAGACCCATAACCCCACCTGCCACGATGATTGGCAGTTCTTGCTCATGTGCCTCTCTTATCCACTTGATTATGAACTGTTTTGGAGCCAGGATTATCTTTCCCTGATGTCCTTAGAACAGAACCCAACACACAGCAGCATAGAGAATAGGCAGATATTGAGAGAAGTTTGGACTCCACTTGCTTTTGCTGTTTGTTTTTCAAACAACATAGACTAGCTTGAGTAGTGGGGCTTGACTTTGTAATTGAGCATGCACTCACATTGTCTGTGTCCCAGTAGTCTCTACACCAGCACCACCTCTCCAAGTCCTGCCCATCCTTCAGGGTCCTGGGCTAGTCTTCCCTGGTTACTCCAGCTCTCATTGATGATGCTCCCCTAAAGTTTCTAGAGCAAACATCAATTTACCCAATAAATATTTGTTAGAGTAAAAACATGCCAAGTCACTGTTAAGAGCTCGGGATTTTGCTGCCGTAAGCACCTAGGTGCCTTCTCATGGAGCTGTCCTTACATCCAGGCTCACTCTGACCTGTATTTAGTCCGGTCATATGTGACAATAACTGCTGTACCCTGAGCTAGTGAAATGCAAGGTCACAGCTGGATCTCTGGGTGGCCTGCTGTGCCTAGCTCATGGGCTAGGGGTCATTGTTGGAAGTCAATGGGTGAACAGATACTTGCTGTAGAACTAACCCTTGGTATGATAGCTTAAATGTTCAGTGAACTTCTAGACCAGACAATTTTCTCACTGGCTTCTGGCCGGCATCTCTATAGGGTAAGTAAAGTTACAACAGAGACCTCAGAGTCTCGTTTCTGGTGTGTTGGGGGAAAAGGGGGAGGTTTGTAAGCTAAGTCTTATCTTTTTTTCCATTCAGCCTGTGTGTATGTGTCAAAACAAAAGAGAATAGATCGTTTTCATGTATTTTCTTCTCTCTCTCTCCCTTCTCTCTCTCTCTTCTCTCTTCTCCTCTCTCTCTCTCCTCTCCCCTCTCCTCTCCCTTCCCTCCTCCCACAATAGGTCAGTGTTGAAGTTTTGGTGGAGTATCCTTTCTTTGTGTTTGGACAGGGCTGGTCATCCTGCTGTCCAGAGAGAACCAGCCAGCTCTTTGATTTGCCATGTTCCAAACTCTCCGTTGGGGACGTCTGCATCTCGCTTACCCTCAAGAACCTGAAGAACGGCTCTGTTAAAAAGGGCCAGGCCGTGGATCCTGCCAGCGTCCTGCTGAAGCACGCAAAGACTGACAGCCTGACAGGCAGTAGACACAGGTATGCTGAGCAGGAAAATGGAATTAATCAGGGAAGTGCCCAGGTGCTCTCTGAGAATGGCGAACTGAAGTTTCCAGAAAAAACAGGATTGCCTGCAGCACCCTTCCTCACCAAAATAGACCCCAGCAAGCCCACGGCCACGAGGAAGAGGAGGTGGTCAGCGCCGGAGACCCGCAAACTGGAGAAGTCAGAAGACGAACCACCTTTGACTCTTCCCAAGCCTTCCCTAATTCCTCAGGAGGTTAAGATCAGCATCGAAGGCCGGTCTAACGTGGGCAAGTAGAGGCCATGCAGGCAAAGGAGGCATGGCTTCCCTTACCATTTGTATCCAGATTACTGTACTGTAGGCTAAATAACACAGTATTTACATGTTACCCTCTTCCTTTAGGTTTCTGTTCTAACCTTGTCATTAGAGTTACATCAGGTGTGGCGCAGGAGATTGGTACAGATGCTTGATCCGCGATATTTTTGGGGGAGCAGGCAGGTGGGAGGGTGGTGGGCACAGCAGTGGCAAACAGGCTCCAGGGAGGCATGAATGTGGTTTTACCAGCGCCTGCCTTCTCCAGCAGGACAGAGGCATCCAATAGGCATTGACTCCCACTAGTTTTAAGAGCAAGTTCAGTGGGAAGACAACTGCAGGGACTTGAGGTGTGTCCCTATGGGGATGCACAGGTGCCATGGTGGTGAGTGAGGGTCTCTTCTTCTCTGCCTCCCTCTGCCTCACTCTCTTGCTCTCAGCATAGGATAGGGGTCCAGACCAGTGTCCTCCTGGGTTCCCACAAACAAAAATCAATGCCAGGGATCCAACTTCAGGGCACAAAGGAGGTGTCAGATAGCAGATGGGAAACTACCCATTTCAAAGAACATTTTTCTCTCCAACATATTTTACAATAAAAGCAACTTTTAATCATATAAGTATATATTTCCCCCTATGGGGACTGACTGCACTGATTTTTTTTTTTAAGAGCAACTGCCACACATGGGATTTCATTTCTGCTTTACTAGTCCAGTGATGTCATCAGAGTGTCATGGTGGGCAGGGAAGCCCCTGCTCAGGTTGCTTCAAGTTGGAGTGGGTGGGACTGGGACTGGGGAACAGAGAGAAACACCCATTCTGGTTTCTGTGCAGTGTTAGAAAAACCAGTCAGGTTATTGTATTGACTTTGTTCCCAAGAGGTAGATGCAAACTGCCCTTCATTGAGAGCTGAGGAAACTCTCTGAGTTAAGTTTGCAAAATCTTTTTGTCTTTTAACTCTAGTACTGTTTCTAGTTCATGACTCTGGACAACTCGGGTGCCACTTTCTTCAGATTCCAGTGTGACATGAGGAATTCGATTTTGAAGATGGTATATATTACTATCTCTAAGCACTTAAAATGTTGTTCACACTTTTTACCAAGCATCTTGGTCTGTCATTCAATGAGTACTGTATCTCACTTTAAAACTCTTTGGGAAGAAAAAAGTTGCTTTCTTTCTTTCTTTTTTTTTTTTTTCTCAACACTGTAACTACATTTTGGTTCTGCAGAGTTGCTCACTGAGCAAGCTATTGAAAGTTTCAATGTGGTTTAAAGGGATGAATGTGAATTAGGAACTAGTATGTGACAATAAATGACCACCAAGTAACTACCTGACAGGAGGCACTTGTCACTTTGATGTTGGAGAAGGAGTTAAAGGCATATGCAGAGTTGGCAGAGAACTGAGAGAAAAAGGCATGGAAGAATGATACTCATTTTTGTCCAGTGTTTTTAAGATGAACTTTTTAAGAACCTTGCAATTTGCACATCTTGAGTTTATAATTTGTGTGAGATTCCTGCAGTTTTTATCCAATAACATTGTGGGAAAGGTTTGGGGGACTGAAGGAGCATAAATACATGTAGCAAAATTACTTTCTAACCTGCCTAAACTCTAGGCCATTTTGTAAGGTTATGTTCCTTTCAAAATTCATTTTGATTTTTCTACTACATCTGTCTTGGAAAGCCAGGTATTAGCAGGACAACTCTGAGAATTTTCTCCAGATTCATTGAGAGAGTTTTCCATAAAGACTTATATGTGAGCAAGTTTTTCTCTTTTTTTTTCTTTTGAAAAAATTACTTTATTATTGTTACCAATGTTATTTTCAGAACGACTTTTTTTTCTATTTGAAAAGAAATCAAGATTGAATGTTTGGTACAAACCCAGAAAGGGTATTTCATAAAGTTCAAACCTTTTATTCCCAGAGATCTGAAATATCATTTGTGGGTTTTGAGCGTATCTTAAAGTGCTTTTAAAAAAGTTTTATAAGTAGGGAGAAGCTTTTAATATTCTTATTTGGATGACTGCAACTATCCTAAATAAATACTTATTTTTCTTTTACCATTGAAAATAGTACTTCTTCCATTTCACAAAAAAAAAAAAAAAAATCCAAATGTCAACACACATGTTGGCTACCTAGGTTTCATTTACACTTAATTCTCACCAGGTCTAATGATTTTTACAAAACATTTTCTGGGGTGTACCAAAAACATGTGACTAGGTTCAGAATAGCTAGAGTCCTTCCTCTACTTCCCTGACCCTCTCAGTGTGCTAGCACAGAGCTGAATGGGCCCCACTCTTGTCATACTCCTTATTTAGTGCTATATTTTTTTTTATTAATGTTTCTGTTCGGAGAACTTGCTTAATCTTTCATATATTCTGCTCAGGGCACTTGCAATTATTAGGTTTTGTTTTTCTTTCTGTTCTTTTAACCTTTAATGGTAAGAGGAATATGGGGCTGCCACAAAGACTTTTGTTTTCATTCGTACCATTTATAACAGCTCAGGTGGGCTCAGAAAAACATACCACATTCTGGCTTACTTCAAGTATTGAACTGACTGTCCGCTAAACCAACACTAAAATGGGAAAACACACATGGTTCAGAGCAATAGGAACATCACAATTTTTGTGGTTCTATTTCAGGTATAGGAATTATAAAATCATTGGTTCTTTTCAAACATTTGTCCTATTTCATTCTCTTGCTTTTTTTTAGCATGTGCAATACTCTCTGTGCCAATGGAGTTTAACCAGTGTGATATATAGTTAAAGTTCATTCCCTTTCGGCTTTCTCTGTTTGGTCGATTGATCTTGCCAGGAGGGGCCAGTCCTCCCTCCCACATTTCCCCTGCTGTGGATGCTGAGTGCTGGGGTGGGAGCCTGCAGGAGCCTGTACATCTGTCACCATGTTGCAGGAAGGGTCTGCAAAGGAGAGAGACCTGGGGAAGAGCCGCAGATCCCTGCCCCCAACCCACCCACCCACCCACGAAATAGCAAATGTGGAGTGGGGCGAGGAAGGAGGCAGATGGATTTCTAAGACACCGTCTGGAGCATTGTAGGCTACAATCGACCCATTTTCCACGGTGTTTTCTGCGAGGGGGCAGGGCTCCTCCACAGGTCGGGGTCCTTGAGACTTTGAGCCCTGCCTCTAAGTGTGGGCAGCAAGTGTGCCCTATTGCAGGTGTGCGTGTGTTCTGAGCATGCCAGCCAGTGGCTGTGGAGGGGACTACCTGTCAACCACTGTCACCACTCCTGCATGGCAGCGTTCTCTTCAAATAGGAAGATCATGCAGAGGGCAAGAGCCTCCTCTTGTTTGCAGACATTGGTGAGCCCCAAGACTCCTGAAGCAGCCGTTGTCACCGCTTCTGTGTGTAGCAAGCCTAATGATGACAGGGGTAGAAATTCTTCAGTGCCGTTTCAGCGTTCAAGGATCAGCCACGTGCCTCTGTACTAAGTCCTCTTTGCAATATTTATCGACAGCCGTCTTTCGTTCCTCTCTCTTTCCTGTTTTCCATTTTTAAACTAATAACAGCAGGCCTTTTGCGTTTACAACGGAACACAATCACCAAGAAATCAGTCAGGGCGAAAAGAAAACATAATAATAATAAGAAATCAACAAACAAGAACCTCTCTTTCTAGGGATTTCTAGATATATCAAATGACTGTTCCTTAGAATGTTTTATCTTATTTCAGTCTGTCTGGGCCACTCTTGGGGGCAGAGGGGGGAGGGAGGGACACAGAGATGGATACCACTTACCTCAAACCTTTTCAAAGTGGAAATCCAAATTGCATTTTCATTTGGACTTTCAGGATAATTTTCTATGTTGGTCCAATTTTGGTTTTTCACCAACTCACCCAGTTTGGTTTGGGATGATTAGATTTAGTGGTGGTTGGTGGATTCCATTGAACTCTGACTTGTAACCCTGTATGTTTTCTGTTAGGTGAGTGTGTTGGGTTTCCCTCCCCACCAGGAAGTGGCAGCATCACTCCTTCTCCCCCGCAAGGAACTCTGCGGAAACCTTCACACCTCTTACTCAGGGACGGGCTGGTGTGTGTGGAACACTGAGGTGTCCAGTTGTAGCACTTTGCTGCTCTGGAGTAGGGTTGTACAACTTCAAGGAATGTTTGGAATTCCTGCATCGCGTGGATTTCTCTTTAGCTACTGCTTAGATTGCAATATAATGCTGCATGTTCCAGACAAACAGTAGCTCCTAGTAATCATAAAATCCACTCTTTGCACATTAGTTTGCTCTTTATTGAAATATATTGCCAAAACTTATTTCTGTTGTAGCTTTGGATTTTTTTTTTTAAGGAAACAATTGATAATACCCTTTAACATCTGTGACTACTAAGGAAATCTACTTCATAGATGCTTTTGAAGACACTAACACCAGGCTATTTCAGACATGGGTGAGGAAGCAGAGCTCTTGGGACAGAAAGCCAGGCTTTTTGAGCTGTGTTGGTTGTCATGGCAACTGTTTCCCGAGCCACAAGCAGCTCAACAAAATAGTCTGTTCTCTCCCGAAACCCTTTGCACTTCCAGTTTCCTAGTCACCCTTGATGATTCCAGGTGAAAATAGGGATGTTCTTCAGTGGTGAAATGAGAGGCAAGAGAATTCTACTTTTTTGTTGTTGTTTTTAAAGTGGAGTGGAGGCCTTTACTTCCACATTTGTGTTTTTTAACCCAGAATTTCTGAAATAGAGAATTTAAGAACACATCAAGTAATAAATATACAGAGAATATACTTTTTTATAAAGCACATGCATATGCTATATTGTGTTGGGTTTGGTTTCTCTCTTTTCCGCGGACAGTGTTGTGTTTCTGTTAATAGGAAAACTCCAAACTACTTGCACACCTCTACTCCGGAGCTGAGATTTCTTTTACATAGATGACCTCGCTTCAAGTGTGTTACCTTACTGATGAAATCTTTCCTTGTAGCACTATACCTTATGGGAATTTTTTTTTCTTTAATGTACACCTAATTTGAGAAGCTGAAGAAAAACATTTTTTGAAGCACTCACTTTGAGGAGTACAGGTAATATTTTTTAAAAGTTGCACAAAAGAAAAATGAATGTCGAAATGATTCATTCAGTGTTTGAAAGAGACGGATCTGTTGAAACAATGAGTTTCATATTTTGTAAAAACAAAGACAGAAGGGTTGAAAGTTACATGGGTTGTTTTTTTTTTTTTTCCTTTTTCCTTTTCCTTTCTGTATATAGAAATTTGTCACGTCTAGGTGATCAGATCTGTATGGTTATGGCCTGGAAGAATTATTACGTAAAAGGCTCTAAACTATACCTATGCTTACTGTTATGTTTTTTTGTTACACACAGCCCTCATCCAAGGGAGGGGAACTCTGTATTCTGCTATTTGAGAATATGTTCTTTGCTAGGCTGAAAATACTTCTATAAGCTCCCTTTTTAGTTTAAACTCTCAAGCCATTGCAACTTATTTTCCTTCAGAGACAATGTTTAATATTTTCAGCACTTCCTGTTCCTATGAACCCAAAGAATATAATCCTGAACATGAAGTGTTTCTAAAAGGGACCCTAGCTACCAATAAAACAGGACTCAATGTGGGGACAAAAAAAAAGTTTAGCCTTCCTCCCCCACCCCCCAACACACCTCATTTAAATGGGTGGGGACATGAATTTTCAAAATGACTCATTTGACTTGTTTTTTCTTTTAATCAAGGCCAAAATAAATGAGCAATTTCCCAGAAGAGTCATATTCCTGTCCAAAAATCAAGCCGGATAATGCACATAGCTGTGGAGACATTAAACAATTCTTAAATTCAGAATCGCATCCCCTCCCTTCTTGTTCAATGCAATTGTCCTGGTAGCTAACATTCACCTGTATCAGGGTGGGAGGGAACGGTGGCTTCATGTTTTTCCCATCCCTGTGACTTGCATACAAATGGTTCAACTGTATTAAAGTGAAGTGCATTTGGCCAACAGGTAGTAGCTATACAATAGCAGTCTAAGAATTTCCATGACTTTCCTTATCTGAAAGGACTCAAGTCTTCCACTGCAGATCAATTGGAGACTTCACCCACCCACTCTTTTCCCCTCCTTTAGTTTTTTGTTTGTTTGCTGTCTGGATGGCCAATGAGCCTGTCTCCTTTTCCGTGGCCAATCTGAAGGCCGCTGTTTACAGTAATCTTTACCAAGATGACAAACATACTGTCCTCCGGAATACCGAGTCGAGGTGACACTGGCTTACAGCTGTTGTCTTTAAAGATCGGTTACCAAGAAGGTCAGTGCAGAGGTTTGCTCTGGTTCTTATACGAACCACCTACTCTTTAAGTTAGTCTCTGGTCCAGGAGTGGGGTAAATTCTTTGTCAGTGACTCTTGATCCCTGTGCATCCAGTTCTGTGAATACTGCCCTCTTGGCCGGGTTTCTTCCTCCCCAGCCTACACTGCTTAAGTGTCAACCCAGGTAGTGTTAACTGAAAGGTTTCAAATGAATCCTGTCAGTATTTGTGGTGGCCTTCGGACAAGACAAGAGTCCTCAATTCTAGTCAGTGGTGGTGGTGGGGGTCTCCTGGCCCTAGAGTATCTGAGATTTCTAACATTGGATATTTTAACATCAGTTACTTACCAAATTTCTGATCATATGCCTCCCACAGGCCAAGGGAAAACAGACACCAAAACTTGGGCTGAGGGCACTTACCAGTATGTATGGAGGAAAACTAGGGAAGAAATGATGTTTTGCACCTTATTGAAAAGAAAATTTTAAGTGCATACATAGTTAAGAGCTTTTATTGTGACGGGAGAACTTTTTTTCCATATGCGTGCATACTCTCTGTAATTCCAGTGTAAAATATTGTACTTGCACTAGCTTTTTTAAAACAAATATTAAGAAATGGAAGAATTCCTATTCTATTTTCTAACCGTGGTGTGTCTATTTGTAGGATACACTCGAGTCTGTTTATTGAATTTTATGGTCCCTTTCTTTGATGGTGCTTGCAGGTTTTCTAGGTAGAAATTATTTCATTATTATAATAAAACAATGTTTGATTCAAAATTTGAACAAAATTGTTTTAAACAAATTGTCTGTATACCAGTACAAGTTTATTGTTTCAGTATACTCGTACTAATAAAATAACAGTGCCAATTGCAAATGTGTCCTCGCCTTCTGTTGGTAGGCCCATGGTCCCAGCTCCTCCTTGCTGCCACTGGGTTGCACAATCAGCCTGCAGAGATTGGTAGTGGGGACTGACATGAAGCAGTGGCTTCCCTATTCATTCTTTTTTTTGGCGAGGGGGGCAGTGTATGCCTGAGATGAGGTTCTAAGATAAAAGGCACATGTCCACCGCTGCTGTCTTGATTTGTTCATGTTTGTGTCTCCTGTCTACTGAATAGGCAAAAGGATTCTCTTTTTAAACATTTGGCAACTTCATGGGCTTGCAATGTTAGTCAATATGCTCTGTATAGTTCTGCTGTAACCTGGTTAGTGGCTTCAAAGTGGGAAGATGATTCAGGTTTCCTGTAGTTTCACAGGCTTGTTAGAAACTCAATGACCAGGGGTCTTCTGGCACGAGGAATAGCCCCCAGGTTTGTCTCGAGTACTGCATGCAGGTCTGCAATGGGCTCGACTGGATAGATGTGGCCTAGCAGCTACTTAGAAGTCCTCTCATGAGAGGAGCACTGAGGCCCTGACATATTTTGTTAGTGCATTAAAGAATGGGCATTAAACCGCCAGTGACTGGTCTCAGGGAATGAGGTGAGTGTGCTGGCATGTGGTGGGGAAGCCTGCTGAATCTGCCTGCCTTGTTTGCCTTCATTAGACTTAATGGATTGTCAAGCTTGGAGTCTAATGGCTTGGCTAAAATGATTGGGCAAAATCCACAGCTCCGTGTGCTGCAATGGGACAGGCCTTGAAACCCTCAAAGCAAAGCATCACCCAGCTTTGTGTCCTCCCATCCGGTCACAGGAAGCCCAGCAGGTGGACAGCAAGGCATAGCCTGATTTCTGGCATTGTTTGATGCTTGGGCTAAGGGATGTTCCAACAGGGGCGTTCCTATTGGGGCAGAGATGAACTTGGTGAGGCAAGGGGCCTGGAACATTAGACCTCTGCTACAAAGTTATCTTGATGGGTTTTTGGCTTTCCAACTAAGTCTTCACATTCCCAGAAAAACTGGATTTTATAAGAGGCCAGCCTTTGGTTGTGCAATCAAAGAGCTAGTCTACAGAACCCGTATACAAGATGGATAAAGTAGCATGTGTCACTTCAGGGACATGCCCCCGAGGATACCACGGTGAGCAGACGGGTGTCACCCTCCTTGACCAAGCAGTGCATGCAGCACAGGAGCCAGATCTGGGAAAGGAGACACTTGTGACACCTGGCCCCAGGTGGACACGGTCCTGAAAGAAGTTTCCATCATTTCTCTCCCTTATTTTGCAAGAGTCTCAAGACCTAAAACTTCAGGACTCGACTGCAAAACACATCCACAGGGACAGTGGCAAAAGCTGACATTCAGCAGAGACAGGCACCTAGTGCTAAGCCACACATCCTGCTGTATGCTGAACAGCCTCTTGACCCTTAAACAGATTTCCAGAGTGCAGCTGTTTGTATTTCTACAGGTAGGAGTGATTCTCCATAGATTTAGAAGATAAAGTACTGAACTGGAGTAAAAACCATGGGATCTTTAAATGTATTCTTAGGAGACTAGAAATATGCCTGCACTTTCCCAGTGTGACTGGTGGTGAGTTCGTGTGGCATCGCTGTGGACACTCAAGAGGATGAATTCCTCCTTATTCAGCACTGCATGGCCCTGCTCCACTCCAGAGTGACACCTGTCTTTTCAAAGAAAACATGCTCTGGAAGTGCTGTGCTAACCTGAAATAAAACATCTTGAACTTTCCAGGTTTAGGACTGAAGCAGTCATTCAACATGGGTGGCCAGTCCTGGTGAACTGCTGCAGGACAGTAGCAAAGACCATGTTTCTCCAAAACAGATTATTGTTACCAGCCAAGCAAGAGACTACTACGAAGAACAATGTGGTCCTTCTGGAAAGTGTTAATTACCACAAATGGCTGTAACTCATTTTAAACCAGTACCTTTTAAGATGCCGAACGGCAAAGCATTTGCTAGTTTTCAGCAGGACTCTACCTGCTAATTTCTTTGCAGATAACCTTTCAATGAAACACCTGTGGAGGCCAGGTGCAGTGGTGTTGTGTGCCTGTAATCCTAGCTACTTGGGAGGTGGAGAGTGGGAAGATTGAGGTTAGAGGCCAGCTCAGGCAAAAAATTCAGGGTGTGGTAGCTCACAGCTATCATCCCAGCTATACGTAAGGGGAAGAATTGTGGTGGGCAGCTTGGGCATAAACATGAGACCCTATTAGGAAAATAACTAAAGCAAAAAGGGCTGGGGGTGTGACTCAAGTGGTAGAGCACCTGCCTAGCAAGCACAAGGCTCTGAATTCAAACCCCAATACACCAAAAAGAAAAACACCTTGTGCAACTTCAAAATAATTTATGACCTCTTTGAGAGGGGCGAGTCTGGGACTGGAAAGGAACAAGGATAGAGGAAAACAAAATGTACACCTAGATAGGCACATGTCCTGCAGGTCTCAGACCATAAGTCGCCTTTAGGTATTGGCCAGGGACCCAATTATTTGCACACGCTTATCGTTTGCTTTTCCTTTCCAGCAACAAAAGCTAAAAGCAGCAGATGCATTACACTGGCTCTAGCCCCTTCCAGCCCCAGGTGCCTTGTGTGCTAACAGCCAAATGCACCACTCACCCGGCTGAGAAGGTGGCAGAAAATACTCCAGTGACCCTATGCACCGTGGCTCCTGCAAATGCAAACTCTAACAAAATCTCAAGACAACAGCATTATATTAAAGTGAAACCATTTTGCTTTAGAAAGAACCAAAGGGTTGGTTTGAGGATTGAGGCTATGAGTTCTGGATAGCTGGTTCTAACCACTGGCCCCAGCACAGCCCTCACTTCTGGGCCTCAAGAAGGCACTGGGGAGGGTCCCAATGCATCCAGGTGGCAGAGAAAGGATGCAGCATTCCACAGGGAAGCAGTCCAATGGCTGGTGAACAGGCCAGAAGGGAGATGAGAAAAGCAGTGTGTGAGGGGGTTTCCACCCAGCTGGACATCACTGGATCCCTGAAGTTAACTGAACACTGTGTTGTGCTGTTGGGTGACCCGGATGAACGTTGCCCTCCTGCTGAGCTCTTTGAGTTTGGCGGCCCCCACATAAGTGCAGGTTGACCTCAGTCCCCCAAGAATATCCAGAATCGTGTTTTCTACATCCCCTTTGTAAGGCACTTCCACAGTCTTGCCTTCAGAGGCTCTGGAAGAAAATGGAAAGTTCTCTTTTTATCTAGTTTGCTTTTCATTAAGAACCCAGCTAGAATCATTCCCAGCTGTAGCTCTTTTTTTGAAGCCCTCTCCCCACACACAGATAACAAGAAGGCACCCTCCCCTCTCCTCCCCCATCCTATGCTGCAGCACTGCAAGTGGGCACATGCCTGCCAGCCTCATTACTGACTGCTCACCATGGAAAGAAGCCTTGGTCAGTAATACTTGGAATTGTAGTTCCACATGGGACCTCTCAGGTATGTGCCTCCACTCAGTCCCACCTCTCTCTGCACCAGTCCCCTGAGGGAAAACAGACCTGGCAGGTTACCTCCTGCCATGGCCACCTCCACCAACAGGAAACCCAGAGCTTTGCTCTCCTGAGTGTCTTCAAACAGAACAACCAGGACAAGGATACAAAATGGACAAGTCAGGCCCTCCTAGGGAACATGGGAAGCTACAACCATAAGATGCAGTGGCTGAACTCAACAGCCTGTCTACCCAGGGTGGCCTCTCTTGGGTACCCTCACTTGCCAACTTTCCTGCCCATGCTCTCACAAGTCACCACACCTATCACCCAGAGCATGGGACAGGAGACAACAAGATTGAGCCAGAAAAGAACCAAGAACTGCTAGTATTGAGCCTTCAGTCAACACCTCTCACTTTTTAGAAGAGTATTTAGAAATTCAGCTGTGGTTATGGCATGAATACCAAGCACCCTCTCACCATTCCTGAATGAAAATTTCTGAGACTATTTCAAAAGAGTGTTATTAACTTTGTTCATTGAACATGCTAGGCTCCCCTTGGGTGAACTCTAGCTACTAAGCCATGAATTAGAAGGAGGCCTGCCTAGTGGCTGGCATAGAACACAAGCTCAGGAGCCCAGTCACAGTCACAGCCATAGACAGGATGGTTCAGCCTCGGCTCTCTGTGACCATAGACAGACACATGCATGTGTGCCTGCAATTACTGCCATTTCTTCTCTTCAGATACTTAGTGGTCTTCCCAGGGTTTGTTGAAAATGATCAGATTCTTATCACTACCACTTTGCTAACTGGTGATGTCACCTTTAGCAAGCCATCCATTGCTAAAGTCTGCTTGTTTGTAAAATGAAGAGACTGATCCATCCCCCAGGGACAGCATGAGAACAAAATAGTTAATGATAACGATGCCACAATTAAACAAAATGCCAAAGTAGGGAATCATTCTCATGATGAGATCATGGTCTGGGGTTGCAGACTGCCAAAAGAGACAGGACAGATACAGCCTGCAGGGATCAAGCTACCTGGGGACTAAGAGCGCTTTCCCTCCTTGTCTAAGATTGAGATCTGCTTCCAGAACTGAGTCTTGATGCTCCTAGACCATGGCTTTCCTGTGATGTCTCACTCTGCTGAAATCCCACGAGATGGTTTTTCTTTTGGCTCCCTGGCATCTGTGTGAGCTGTAACCTGGTCTGGCTTTTCTGGGGACCCAATACAGCTGCAACAGTTAGAGGGCAAAAAACATACTTGAGGCTCAACCACAGGGCTCCACTTCGATTGGGCACAGAACCTCCAACGTGTGGGTCCTCAGACAGTGGCAAGAGCAGCTGGTGAAGCAGTAAGCATCTTAGCTGGGAGTCCAGGTTCCCACTGAGGCAGTAATCCCTTGCCCCACTGTGCAGCCTCCTCTATTGGTTACTCAGGAGGAGAAAGGACCCTTTGAGGTCACTTGGGAGATTCCTCTCGTTTCTGACTGATGATGCAGTCCCCATCCCTCTTGCCACCTTGTCCTCCTTACTAGAATATGTTTACTGAAGAATAGAAGTTAGGTACCCTATCCCCACCCTCATCCCGTCCCACCTGTAACTTTCAGTAGAACCTCTAGCTGGTTCTGAATTTAGTATTATGTATCTATGTGCTGTGCCCTCAAAATCAGCCTTTGGTTATGGAATGATTGGCAGGAAGAAAATACAGGGTGCTGGCACGGAAGGGCTGGGGTTTCCACATGGAGACAAAGCATGAAAACAAGAATGAGAGGTCAGTTCTTTCAGGAGAAAGGCAACTCCTTCACAGCCCCTTTCCTCTGGAGGACAGAAGATGGTCTACCCTGTCTGCTTCATGGAGCGTGTCCTCAGTGCTGGCTCTAAGAAGAAGTAAGGGCAGGAAGCAGGGTGAGGTAGTAAGTCTGCTCTACCATGGGGTTCTTGAAGCAGATGGTTGAAATGAAAAGGGCCAGGGGATTTTATATTCTAAAAATGTATCTACAGTGGGTGACACAGTTAAACAGCTGAAAATTCTGCTTGTGTCAATTGTCAGAGCCTGCAGGCCAATGAGAGGCCAAGGTGAGCAGCTGTAGGTGTAGTATAGAATTCTTCAGGAAGTGCCTGGCCACTGTGTCAAGGTGTAGACCACCTGTTTCCTGTGCAGCAGGTGACGCATTCTTCAGCCTAGTACTTACTGAACTCAGACCAGATAGGAGGTTACAGGGATAGCTCCGCCAGGGCTCTACTGGGATAAGGCAATATTCCTACCCAGCCCTGGAAGTACAAGGGTGTCCCCTCCAGGACAGTCACACTTCCAACCTGGCTCCAGACGCTTCTGCTCTGCACTTGCTTTCAGAGGCCCCAAGCACAGCAAAGGCTAGCTGGAGAAAAGGCAAGGCCCAGTTCCATGTTCTAGCCTCTTCCCAGAGTACCTTAACACACACAGAAGTGATAGTTAGACCTGTACAATGTGGCAGAAGCATGTAGCAGCCTCACCTGTACTCAGCAACTCCTCCTGCGTGTTTCTTCATGGCTGTGTCGGAGCTCATCCCATAGAAGAGCTTAAGCTTCTGTCCATTCCTCTCAATCACCTCCCCTGCACATTCTGTGTGGCCTGAGAACATTCCTCCCAGCATGACAAAGTCTGCTCCAGCTCCTACATGACAGAGCAGGAACACAGCTCAGGGAAGATAGACTCTGGAAAAACCCAAGCCTTCCCCAATACTCCCTCCCTCCCTGTGCTCTAGGCCCAAGAAAGGCTCAGCTTCTCTTGAAAACACCAGGAAAAAAACAAAAGTGGCGCCTACTGAAGGTCACCACACTGGAAACTGCTTAATGGTTAATTAGTCACTAACTATGACATCACCCAAACATGTATGCCTAACTCCTTTAGATTCAGATAAAATTAAGAAATGCATGATGTAATGCATGTAGAAAGCACATGGTCTGACCTTATAGGTCTTCCTTCAGCTCTGTGCACAGACCTCACACCAGGCCTCAGTAGACACTGCACTTCTACACTAAGGCTGGGCAGGAAGAGAAAGACCCCTATGCAAGACACGTCAAACTCTACCTGCACAGCCACTGTGAGGAGCATCATGTTTCCAGAGCATACAATGTGCCATCCTAGTCACCAAGTGACATGAAATTTCCAGAGCTACAGCAGAGATGCGGGTGTTGAAACTGCCTTCTTAGGCTCTGTTTACACAGCCATGGCACAATACAGATGCTCACTAACCAGCTGTCAAGAAAGTAACAGGAAGCCATGGAAGAAATAGAGTCACCATTGCTCAACCTGTTCCTGGGAAGCTGCAGAGGAGGAGCTCTTCATTAAATATTAAGCAATGCAGTTCAAATGTGCCCCTCCAAAGTTCATGTGTTGGACACTTAACCCCCAGTTTCACATGCTGACGGTATTTGGCAATGGTGCTTTGAGAAGGTCATTTGCATTAGATGAGATCACCAGCATAGGTAGGACCCCCCCCCACTCCCATGATGGCATTTGGTGGCTTTATAGCAGAGAAAGACACTCAAGCTAGGGCACACTTCACTATCTCACCATATGCTACCCTCCACAATAAGCAGGTGCCAGCACTGTGTCCCTGAACTTCCAAGCCTCCTGAACCATAGCCCAAATAAACTTCCCTACTAGTCTCGGGTATTTTATGACAGCAACAGAAAATAGACTACGGAAGAAACTGCTCCAACCTCTTCTCCTGAGGCCTATTGAGGGTTCACATGTAGAAGAGAACAAGACAACAGCAAGGTGCAGACATACTAAGTGACTAGGATGGAGGAGGAAGAGAGAACAAAACTCAGTAGGAGAAAACAGGAAGCCTGAAAGGTGGCCTTGATATCTTCCATCACTCATGTAACTATCCAGAAGAGGACCCTGGGATGTACTTCCTGTCAGTTTACAGAAAGGCACACTCTGCAGGTCTGGCCCCTCAACCAGCACTCAGGTGGACCAAGGCACAGATATGAACTCCTAACTCCATGGACTTTCCCTCTAGGGTTCCTAATGACAATACCGACTCCTTGGTCCTCCTGCCATGGTTTTAAAGGAATAGATCGTAACAAACCTCCTGATGACCACAACTCCATGTGTCTACAACAGAAACTCAAGAACACAGACCCGCTTCAGATAGGTGGTTTCCAAAGCCTTTCATTTGTGAAAACTTACATCCTTTCCTGGCCAGCCTTTTCCCTGACGAGGCCCCTCTCCCTCCACTAAGGCTATATGAAGGCACGGATGGAGGAGGGAAAAATGCCCAAGACAAACTGAGCTGAGGGGACACTGCTCTCTACAAGGCACCTTCTTAATGACCAGTCACTTTAGCTCAGCTCCCACTCTGTGCAGAGTGTGTACTAAAGGTGTCAGGAGCTCAAGATGGAAACTGCATCTCTATTAAGTAGATTCCACTCAAATAAAAAAAAAAACAAGTAATACAAATATGCTTGGCTGGTGAGCATTACAGAGCACAAGAGCAGAACTCCTGCCCATAACTGTAGACCTGGGACCTTGTCATCCGCCTCCAGGGCCTCAGGATTCTCAACCATAAAACAGGCAAACTGGACTGGAAAGGATCTAGAGAGTCCCTTCTATGCTCAGGTCTATGATTAGACTAGGGGAACCAATGTTCCCCATGTTCTCCTCTGTCACTATTGGGTTGCTGTCTTTTTGTTTTTTTAGTTCCTAAGAAAGTTTTCTGCCACACGTACTATTTTTTTGCTGGCATTAGAAAAGTATGGATGGGACCCTTTGTTTCTACCTCCTGCCAGTGCCTACATCCCCCACACAACAGTTTGGAACCTCCAGCCAGGCAGCCAGCTCCGTTTTACTGCCCACTATGCTGACATGATGGATTTCTAGGGCTTTCCCAAGAAAAACCCAGGACTGGCTGGGGTGAACCTAGCTGATTACAATGGATACTGCTGCCCCCTGGAGGGAAGGAAGTTCCTCAGCCTCCAAGAAGAAACCAGAGTGAACTCCTGTGTGGGATTTCTCCAGGTTGAGCTAAAAGAGCCACCTATGGCACTTACACCCAGACCTGGCACTGTCTTCTTCCACAGGCACTCTGAGCCTTGTCTTCACCAATGAAAAGGCTGTGATGTCACCAGAGATTCATCTCCTAGGCATGTGGCATGCTCTGACACAGAACAGAACTGAACTGAGGCCAGGACTTCGGCCAATAGGGAATGAAACCCAAAAAGAAACTCCTGGCAGGCCAAACATTTGCCCACAGGTCCCCCTCCTCATTCCGTTTAGCAGGAACTGCAGGGAGCTCTTTCCTTCCCCACCTCCATCTGCCAGGGCCCACCTTGTCCTTACCAAAGGCTTTGGCGACATCTCCTGGACACGTGCAGCCTCCGTCCTTTCAAGAGGAAAAGCAAGAACAGGATATCAGCACCAAACAGGGCTGGACCATGCTATCCATCCCCTGGAGGGGGATACAGTGACTGGGAACTGCTGGTACCGTCCTGCTCCCAGCCAAGCACCTGGGCCAACAACCCCTTGTTTGCTGACCTCATTTGCTCCCCGGAGACCTTCCATTTCCTCTGTGGGTCAGAGGGTGGTACCCCCTACCCTTTAATGCCCATCCCCCACTCCAACTCAGATACCCTTTCCTGGGGAGCTGGGTGGAAGCAGCTAGTAGCAGCTGCGCTGCAGAGGGGCTGGGCCCCCATCCTCTGCCAGCCCTTTACATAACACACCAGGCCATTCCACATCCCCACTCATTCTCACCAGTCACCTTTCGTTCCCTGCCTGGGGTGAGGCGAGATTTATTTAGTACAAAGGCTGAATGGTGCTAAGAGCTGAGAGAAAGATACGGAGTTAGTGCCTTTATTTTTGCAGCCACCCGTGTGTCTATCTTTGTGTGCAGTACCTTGTTACTTAAAAAAGCTAACATCCATACCCAACACCCACTCTGCCCACATACAGCACTGGTCAGGGGCTGGTTTAAGGCACGGAGGACAAGCTGAACCCCTGGGTAGCAGTGCGGCTCTGCTCTGGGGCCATGTTTACACACCAGTCATACAACTTGAGATCTCTAGGATGCAGAGTTCATGTTTCCTCACAAACACAAGAGACCCAAGATGCCCAGGCTGCTACCTGCTAGTCCTAGTGTGGCCATGCTGAAGTTCAAGGAGGAAAAGAAGAGTAACAGTATTTTGGAGAAGCACCCAGACACCCAGGGATAGCCCCAAGGATGCAAAGGGGCAAGGAAAGACAGGAAAAGGCAGGACGAGGGTATGGTGACACAGCCCAAAGCTCACTACGAGTCCAGGAGAAAAGCAAGGCCTCTGAGGGCAGGACCTGTCCCCAGAAAGTAGGACCTGACTGTGGAGGGACCAGGCACATTTTGGAAAGGAACAGAGAACACAGGTCACCTGGGTTATGTTGGGTGACAATTTGCAGGAAGGTGCCTAGACCTCTGGAGTTGGAGGCATCTAACATAGAACTGGGATGAATTTTTTTTTTTAATTTTTACATATTTTTTTACTTCCTATGTAGCCCATGCTGGCCTCAAACTCATGATCCTCCTGCCTCTGCCTCCCAAATGCTAGGATTATAGGCCTGTACCACCATCCCCGGCTCTGGGACAAATCATTTTGCAAAGAGCACCTGCCCTAGAACACAGGTCTCTGTGACTCAATGCTCTTTTTCTATCAGCTTATTAGGACTGTCACTCCAGGAGCCAGAACTCAAACCCTGATTCTTAATTCTTTGCAGTTCTGATCAAAAAGGAGGCATCAAAGACATGCTCTTTTTCTTTGTCAACATTTTCTAATTGCAATTATTTGCTCAATCACGTATGTTATTCCTATGTGGCTCCCCTGACCTCCAGAGGGCCACAGGGCACTGAGGCCTGGCTGTTTCAGAGGCAGCCTCTCTAAATAATGTATCTGGGCAAAGGCAAACCCTTCATGTGAGGACAGTAACAGGCTTGTGGCCCTACATACCTGGTTACTGCTTCAAGCTCCAACATGCTTATTTTCTCTTTCAAAGCTACAACTTCCATGTGCCCTTTACTTGCCTAGTCAATTCGTTTTCCAGTGCTTCAGCTCTTTTTCAAAACATAACCTCAACTCGGCTCCCATTAAAATAGGCCCCTAGCATTCTGACTTCAAAACGCTTTTGCTCACTTGTGCGTAGCTTGTGGTTAGGCTAGGGTATCTTGAGTGGGCTCTCGAAACTTCCACATGACTATGGTCAGTGATGAGGCCTCACTCAGAAGCCCTGTGGTTTTAGGACTGAAAGAAAACAAGCCCTGCTCTTCCCAGGATGAGCCAGGAAGTCCACAGTTAATGTGACTGCATGATGTGTCACGGAGAGGAAACTATACTTACTTCCTGTCCTGTTCTCGGGAGGCAGAGCAGGAGGACACCCTCCTGTTGCCTGAGACTCGCACTGACCTTCACACAGAAATAGTCACAGCTGCTGGAAGGGTGTTTTTAAAATGTAATTTGGCTAGTATCTTGCAATAGATACTTGTGTTGTTTTTCAAGACAGTTAACATTATAGTTAAATACAGAAGGCTTAACATGGCATGAGCACCAATTTGATCTGTGAATTTTCAGCATGCCTCTTCTTAAAATATTTGCTTACATGGTTGGGTATGTGTCTCAGTGGCAGAGCACTTGCCCAGCATGTGGGAGGCCCTGGGTTTGACCCTCAGCACTGGAAAGAATATTAAAAAAATAATAAAACCTTGTCTATGCCTAAAATAGGGGATGGTAAAACAAACAGAGTAAGCAGAGAAAGGAATCCAAATTAAGTGCCTCCTAAGAGCCAGAAACTTAAGAATTTATCTCCCATTTTTCCATTCAAACACCACAAGAATCTGAAGTTGGTATTTTGTTAGTGTGGAAAAATAAATGAGACTCAGAAAGGTTGAGTGACTTTCCTAAGACTGCACAGCTACAGTAATGGAAAAATGAGAATCACTGGTTATCTTAAGACAGTGATTCTGATAATACTTAGTGAAAAATCTGACACCTCTGAAGGAAAAATAAGAACCTGGAGCACACAGGGAGGCTAAGTGCCCTCTTCCTATAGCATGGCCTCTGAGAGCCTGGGCTGTCACGGTCCTCAACTAATATAAGCATTATTTGCATTTCTGGCTTTTCCTAGGCCAAGCATATCTTGTTGGGGGAATTTTTCAAGCCTCAAAAAAAGATTATTTAATGAAATTTGGTTAGGTCTTCCTAAACAATGCTGTGACAAGACAGAATTGATGGATCACACCTCAATCTTTGCCTATACTGGGAGTGCCCTGAATTTTTCCTCCTTCTTTCTCTCCAAAGTCCATGTGGGCCAGAATAAGTAGAAGCATGAGTGGAACCAGGCCCGTTAGTTTTGAACACCTGCTGAACACCTCCTATTCTGTGGGGCTTCCTTCTGAACTTCAACAGCACAGATGTGCTAATTCTGTAACGACAGTGTGAAATGAGACAGCTGGAGGGAAATTGGACTGAGTGGTGGGATACCAAACATCTGATGGGTTTCCTGCAGGTTCCATCTATTGGCAAGAGGTAGAAGAAACCTGCTTGAGGAACTCCATTAGCCAAGGTGACCCATGGGAAATGGCTGCTCTGAACCTGAAGCTGCACAAATAGGAGGGAAAAAAGGAGCTGAAGTACAGGGTCCAAATCCAGAGTGTGTGGAAACTTCACTTGTTCTAGCTACAAATTTAATTCCTCATCCAGTCTAAGAAATCTCCCACCACTGGTGGAAAAATAAGAACCTTGGAGTGAATGGGAGGCTCATAAGTGCAACATTCCTATAGCATGGACACCAAAGGGCTGGGCTATCACTGTCCCAACTGACACAGGCAGGTAACACCTGGCCAGTGAGGCCGAGCCTATGCTATATAAATTCATACTTGTCAATCTTGAGGACACATGGGAAATACCCAGAGGGCTTATGACAACAGATTCCCAGCCCTTGCCTTCAGAGTTCCTAGGTCAGAACTAGGGTGAGGCCCAAGAAGTTCTAACAAGTTCTTAGCTACCACCACTGCTGCTTAGAGAAGGAGCAGCTGAGTTAAGTCACTCATTAGGTGATGCTGTGTGCACATCCTAAGAGGACTTTCAACCAGAGTTGCCTAGGGAGTACGCAGAGCCTCTACCCAACCCTTCCCCAGTCTTTGGTCAAGTAGCCCTACAAACAACCCAAGTTTTAAATTTCTAAAAAACACACAAAGATGGAAATGGTGGCCACCCAGGTGATATATATGATACAGGTCTGGATTTCAGACTTCTGCTAGTGAATAGCACTAGGTAATGGATGCCATCAGGATTCTGGGGCCCAAACTGTGAAAGACTCTTAACTCACTAGTCCAGGAATATCTGTGCATAAATACAGGTTTCTCTGCAGGTTCTCATGCAGCCATATGTCAGGGCTGCAGCTGGCCTCTGAGAGCCACTGGCAGAATGAAGCACGGAACTGCTTGGTGGCTTCTGTAAGAGGTGTACCCTCACTTAACAAATGTACACAGACAGTTCTATGTCAGCCTTTTACATACTAGTTGTTCAGTAAGCGAGTGTTATCTCTTCACTGGGGCAAAAGTCAAAACAAAAGAGTATTAAGTGGAGAGTCTTAGAATGCTGTCATTAAACAATACAATGTTGACCATTTATTCTAGCTTCTAGCATATAGTAGACACTCAATAAATACTTGAATGAAAATGTGGGCAGATGAAAACACTGGATGAAGAAACAGAAGAACACAGCAACCTGCTCTGCCCTGCAAGTCAACACCTGGATCCCAGTCCTTATCTAAGAGTCACATGATCCGAACAAAGACTGCAGGGCTCAAATGCTGTACTAAGGCTCCAGTGAGAGACTGTGCACATAGAGGGTTTTGAAAGAGTAAAATAAAATCTGAAGAGCAGGCCAAGAAATCAGCCTCAACAAGCTACCATGTTGAACCAAAGTCAACGAATCATTCCATGGGGAAGATTACTTAACTTCTTGCACTAGGTTTTTTGTTTTGTTTTTGCAGTACTGGGGTTTGAACTCAGGTGCTCTACCACTTGAGCCATACCCCAGCTATTTTCACTTTAGTTATTCTGAGGACAGGTCTTGCATTTTTTGTCTGGGGCTAGCCCCAGACACCTACTTGATTGCTAAGGGGCTTGTTTAATTAATTCTTCCCCAAACACCTGTCAGGTCTGTAGGTGGCTCTGAAGCCCTGCTGCCCATACTACTTGGTGGAGGGCAGGGTCACCTCTTGCCTGACTCACACCTTCCAAGCTGGCTCCCTTCTTAGTTTGCCTTCCTCATCCAACCTAAAGCAGCCAGTTTAATGTCTTAAAAAGACAAGTGCATCCACTAGGCAGTCTCCTCCTTAGATCTCTCCTATAGCAACCTGGTGCATTCAGGAGGAAGCCCAGTTCTTTATGTGGCCCCTCAGTTCTTGTCCGCACAAGCCCTGGAGCTCATCTCCTGGTCCCTCACTCCTGTGACACAGTGATAGCAGGTTGTTCCAATACGACATTCTCTCTTGCTTCCACCATGCTTTTCAATTCCTTCTTCCCCTTCAACTGGAAAATTCTCTCTCTCTCTCTCTCCCCCCACCCTCTCTCTCTCTCTCTCACACACACACACACACACACACACACAGAAACCTCCCCCTGACTCCAAATCTGAGCTATGTGGCCTATTGCAGGTTGAATTATAGCCCTCACACACACACAAACAATAAAGCTCTCTTTGATATCCTAACCCCTTGTACCTTAGAATGTGACCTTTTTGGGAAACAGGGTTGTTACTGATATAGTTAGTTATGATGAGGTCATACTGGAGTAGACAGGACCAGTGTCCTAAAAACAAGGGGGACTTTGGACACAGACACACGTGCATAGGGAGAACACCATGTGTACAGGGACTTGGGCTGCCATAAGCCAGGGGCCTAGCAGGAGAAGGGAGAGCACCAAGCCCAGCTCCTTCCTGTGCCCTCAGAAGGAGTGGGGACCTGCCCACCCTGTTCTGGGGTTTCTAGTCTCTAGAACTGAGAGACACTAAATCTGTGTTCAGTCTGGGTACTTTGTTACAACATCCTAGCAAGGGACTCCTTGTGCCCCAGTGCTGGCTGCATGTCCCCATCTTTCTACCTACTACAGTATTGTCACTGATTCCCGTGCCTGCCTCCCTCATTGTAGACTCTGAAGCAGCAGGGCCTCTGTCTCTGCTGAATGTCACTGCTGTGATCACAGTGCCTTGCTCCCTTCCAACCCACAGGATGCCCAGGGGATGAAAGAGCAGTGGGAAGCAAGGCCCCTCAGGGTGAGGGCACCAGACTTTTCTATGGTTTCCCCCTAATCCTGCTGAGACTCACAGAGATGATGTGGCCCTTGAGACCATGAGCAGAGTCGGCACACTCAATCACAGCGCTCAGCTGGGGGTAGCCCACTCCTGTCTTGGTGCGGGTGGTACACACCGAACCTGTGCAAAGGAAGAGGTGGAAACCGAAGAGGGTTATGTATCAGCAGAATGTAACATAAAATGAGGACCATCACCTTCACATAGCCCTGTGTAATGAAAGGGTAACCTGTCCAGAGCAGAGAACAGCGCCATATACCTGGCCATGTATGCCTTCCAGTCCTCATGCCCTCACCCACTGCCTCCCCCTGTGGCATCAGCTTCCTCTAATGGCCTTAGAGCAACAACCTTCCCTCATTCCAACTCCCTTTCCTTCCTCCTTCCCTCACTTTCATGCATCCCCACTCCACTTCTAGGGCCCAGCTCCAAATCCTCCCCAGCCTCCCTCACTCGCTGTAGTTTCATCTTGGATTTCAATGAAGCTACTAACCTCCCCCAGCCTCACTGCCTCACCTGAGACAGAAATCAAAATCCCTCATAGGGTTGTGGCCAGGATGAAATGGGTACTGGAGAGAAGGGCTTGGCCTACAGTAAGCTCTTGAGAAGAGGGAGCCGGCACAACCAGATTTCTATACCTCACTCTTACTCAACTCTGTTCCCATGTGACCCAGTCACTTGTCCTTCATGATCTCACTGTCCACTCTGTACCTACTCTGCCTACTAAGTCCCCACAGAGCTGAGACCCTGAGATCAGCCTGTGTTTCAGTCCTCACAGTAGCACCTGGACACCATCCTGCCTTGGCAGCAATCTTTTCCCAGTTAGGTCCAGGGGAACACAGGCATCCTTATAATGTGTCCTCCACCACCATTCAAATCTTACCCCAACCCCCAGCAAGGGAGCACACACCATGATTCACCTCAATCAGCTAGATGAAGCTCAACTGCAACCCTCCTCTCTCACCTGCTCATCTCTTTCTACTGCCTATCAGTGACTTTTCAGTCCCCCTACACACACACACAGCACATTTCTTCCCACCTTGGGATTCCCTGTACACAATATTCTCTCTCAGAACACTCCCCTTTGAACCAACTACCTTCATCCAGCAACCCTTTCTCACTTTCAGTCTTCTTAAATGGCACTGCTCCAGGGCAGCTATTCATCACAGAGTTTGTCACAAGAGTCGCATTTAAATAATTATTTGTGCAATGCTGAGGATGTGTTTGCTCTGCTCTGCTAGATGGTAACTCCATGGATATTCACACTTGTTGTCTATCCAGTGCTGAGAAAATGCCTTGGACACGATCAAGGCATTTTAAATAGTGCTGAAAGAACGCATGGACTGGAGAACAAATGAGTCACCTCATCCCTGTCACCGCTGCTCTGCCATTCACTCAGCTCCTTCTGGACATTGTGTGGTCTCCGTTACAGGGTATTCTGGGAGCAGTGTAAAGGCAGATCAGAGTTATTGTTCCTCTTGCTCAGAGTATGTTATTATCTGCCTTAAGTGAATGGCAATCTGAAAAATCACTTTCAAAAAGTGGAGTTAAAAACGTCCCTGTATGTTAAAAGCTTGGGTATTGTAGGAGACTACAGGGATGTTCTTCACTGTTCTTTTTATTTACCTCCTATTCCCCCTGAGGCTGGTAACAGGGCTAAGTCACAACCCAGTGGAGTCCCCTGCCTCCAGCAGCACAGCAGCACTCTCCCAGATTCCTCACATTGGTTAATGGTCCACTTCCTTTTTTTGATAGTGTGTTTGAGAAGGTTTTTTTGTTTTTTTTTTTTTAAATCTTTGTTGCTTTTTAGATACACTTTTTGGTACATCTTCTTTGTCTCCAGTTTTAGTGTCTGCTACTAATGAATATACAGGACAAAACTTAAAACCATGGCAGTGAATTGATCTTCCAGCATGGTAAAAGGGGAAGGCCAACACCAAATAGCCCCAATAAAAAATGGCACTTGGTTTAAGGATACAAAGTCTCCACCTCATTCCTCCATTCAAGATACTGATGATTAGTGGACCTAATGCCTGAGGAGGATGTGGGCTGGTATGTATCAGGTGAGGGATCAACGGTGATAACTGCCTAGGCCACAGGTCAAGTTCAAATGTGGCCTCATAACCACAAGCCTATTTGCAATGTTTGAGGATCCTTCAAAGATTCACATGAATTTGAGTCATTCTTATCCATTAACTGTATTCGTGGATTCTTCACCCTTCACCTTCCTCCTCAAGGTGTGTGGATTATTAATAAAATTTGCATTCTCCTCTTCCCCATTAAGATTCTGAAACAGGATATTCCAACCAAATCCAAGTTCATTTGGACACTGCCTGAGGACATCAGAAAGCAGCTCAATGACACCTCAAGAGCTTTGTCTGAAGGTTCAGGGATGCTTCTAGAAGAAATGTGTTTAGATCTATCTCATAGTTGAGTTATTCATGTGTTCTCTTCTGGCTATCTCCAGTAAGTATAAGCCTCAGGTCCCATGTCTTCCCACAGACTCCCCTGCTGTGCTCCCAGCCAGTCTCACCTGGCCCAACTCCCACTTTGATGATATCTGCTCCGGAAAGAATGAGTTCTTCAACCATCTCTCCCGTCACCACATTTCCTGCCTGAGACAGAAAAAATACAGGTCATAATCATGAACTTTTGGGGTACAAAGGTGAAGGAGGAACTTCACACCTGAACACAAAGATGTGCATGTCCTGAAGCCACCAGAGCACAAAAGAAAACATGGAGCCAAATTCCTGAGGCAATTTAAGCTTGAGGATTGGGGGCCACATTTCTCCCTGGCTTCCTTCCCTACTGAACAGGAATGTGGAATGTGACATCAGGAAACCACTTTAGGAAAAGCTGTCTGGGTGAACAGATACCATGAGGTCTGGAACTGTATAATTTTAGAACCACAGAAATATGATAGGTTTTTTTAGCATCTCAGCAATAGCCAAAACAACATCTCCTAGGGACCCCAAATATGGACAACAAGCAACACAATACAGTCAGCTGATTTAAATCCCTATTGCTGGGTATAAGATGCCTCCAAGTTTACAAAGTCCTGAAGAATCTCTAGGGAACTCCAGAAATCAGGATTAGGAAACTCTGATCATGTCACAGTTGAGAAAATACCCACACATCCAGCCCTAGGGCTGGGGTTCCCGTCTAAGTATGCAAGGACAGGTGGTGCCTTATGGGCCACAGGCTTCACGACACAAAGCTTTGGTCCTAAGAATAGACCCACAAGCCAGGATATGGCAGGACCAATCAACCACAAGGATGCATCTGGGTTGGAAAACAGTACAAGCTCTTTCTCTACAGGAGTCTAGGAGCACAAAAAATAGCCCTTTTTATTATAACTCACCGCCCTGTGGATTCTTCAGCTGGTACCCAGCATACTTGGCAAGATGCCCTGACTGAGTTTTCACAACTGTGCAAAGTCAGATTTTGCAACATGCATCCCCACTCATTCTACTCTCACTGAAACTCAAGTGTCTTTTCACTGAATTGATTCCCTGAGGGACTTTTTTTTTTCTCAAAAAATATAGAGAAAGCAACTTGAACTTGAACATAATATAAAAGGTTGTTGGAAAAGTAATGAGGTAGGTCCAAAGCTACTTTAATACAAATACCAGCTGATAATGGAAAATCATAGATAACCCAGAAAAAGAACTAGATGTTGGTTTAAATTATGCCCCTCAAATTCCGAGGAAAACCATGAATACTTACAATAACATAAAAGCAAACAAAACACAGAGCTGTCTACACAAAGATGAAATAATTATACACATAAACACACACACACTCATATACTCAACAACCAAGCAGAGAAAAATATGTGCAATTATGACAAAGGGTTACAAACCTTAACATAACAAGAATGCTTATAAATCTACAAGGAAAATGTTAATACCTCCCAGAATCATTTCCAAAGGACACAATAAAAGAAAGTAAAGTAACTAATATAAACAGGGTATGTGCCCAAGCTTCCTAATACATCAATATACATAATAATGGTGGGACTATTTTTCACTTAATAAACTTGTACTTGTAAACACAAAATACTAAAAAACAAAATGTCAGATAAATGCTCTCCACTGGTGGAATGACTATTTTAGTGCAAGTTTTCCTAGAGGTAATTTGTCCACATACAAGTGCAAAAATATACATATCCTTCGAGTCATTAATTCTAAAATTCCCTCACAATGAATTCACAAATAAGGATAAAGATTTAACTACAAAGATGTACCATTTGTCACAGTGCAAAACTGCAAATACAGTCCCCAAAACAGGAATGGTTCAACCAATGGCCCATCCATGTGATGTTTTGGGGGACTTTTTTTGGGGGGAGGTTGCTGGGGATGGAACCTAGAGCCTCAGGTGTACTAGACACGTGCTCTAGCACTGAGATTTGCTCCCATGCCCCACGTGATGTTTTTAAGAGTGGTTCAACGACACAGGAAATGCTTTGACTCCTTTCAGTGTAGTGTTGGGAAAAATAGCAAGATTTCAATTTTATTTGCAATATGCTATAAATATACCAAATGTTAACCAGTTCTATCTGTTTGAAGGGATTATCTGGCTTCAATGAATTTTCTCCTTTTAAACTTTTTTTTTAAACTTTAAAACTTTTCTGGGACTGAAGGTGTAGCTCAAGCAGTAGAACACCTGTTTTCCAACCATAAAGCCTTGAGTTCAATCCCCAGTACTGACAAAATAATAATAAAACTTTTCTGGATTTTACAGTACAAAGTGCATACTTCTATAATTAAACATGGAAGTCTTTGGCTTGGATTTATTTTTTGGTTTTTTTTTTTTTTGCAGCTAGGAGGTTAGAACCTCATAACTCACGCCCCAGCCCCTTTATTTTGTTTCTTTTTTTTTCCTTTCATTCGTATGTGCATACAATGTTTGGGTCATTTCTGCCCCCTTTCCCCCGCCCCCTCCCTTACCTACTGTATTTTGTTTCTGAGATAGCATCTTGATAACTTTTCCCCTGCTGGCCTCCCTAGTTGCTGGGATTACTAGCATAAGTCACAAGGCCCAGCTTTGGGTTTGTTTTTTGAAGTGCAAGAAACACCTGAATTCTGTACCTGAGAAAGAACTTAACAGGAACTTGAGAAACAAGATCAAAGTTCACATTCTTCCTCACTGGTTGACTTGTTTGAAAACAACAACAACAAAATTTAAGAAGAAGCAACAATAAACCCTCCACTTCAGTTTCACCATGGATTCTTTTTTCTCCAACCCGGTATTGCCTACAAACCATTTTACTTTCAAGGCCCTTTTTTGGACAAAATAACTCAAGTCAGCTCTCAGTGGACATACCAGGTCTATGTGGGTAAGGACAGAATGACTCTCTCACAAGCGTGGAGAGGCTGGCACCAGAACTTCCAGGGTATCTTCCCCTCCCCTTCAGCAACATGCATGGCTCCTGCATCCATGGTCAGCATGTGGTCACTGATGCCAAGTGGAAAAACCCAGTAGAATTCTGAAATGTCTCAAGCATGACCCACAACATAAGAAGGCAGAGGACTGGGCCGGTGTGGGGTTGGGGAGAGGGGGCATTGGCAGGAACCAAAAGTTGTCTCCTTAAGTTTGAAATCAAGACCAAGTTCAAGGAACAGAGGACAAAACCAAGTCAGAAACAAGGACAATGACAGAGTACAGTCAGGCTCTCATGAAGTCCCCAGCCCACCCCAGGTGGCCTCTGGGCACAGGGGTGAAGTGGTGGGGCAGGTTGAAGCTGGCAGAGTGATTAGGAGAGGAGGCTGCTTTATCTTCCATGAAGCATCTGGTGCAGGGGTGGTTACAGGCCCGTGAGAACACGACAATCGGGTTTTTCGTGCATGTTCTTCTCTGGGCAGCCAGGACAAAATGGAAGCTGTGAGCCCTCATCTGAGGCACTAAAAGAGGCGGGTGGAGGTAGGTGCCTCTACCTTCCCTAGTGTGGATTGGATATGAAATGTCCCCAGAAAACTCATGTGTTGGAGGCTTGGTACAGCGTTTACAGGTGGGGCCATAGGGTTGTCATCAGACCATGAGGACTCCAACCTCATCAATGGATGGATTCATTGGTGTGCTACTGAGAGGTGATGGAAACTTTAGAAGGCAGTGCCCAGTTGGAGGGTCACTGGGGGTGTACCCTTGAAGTATTTTGTCCCCAGCCACTTCCTCTCTAGCTCTCTGCTACCTGGAGGTAAGCAGTTTTTCTTCGCTATCTGTCCCTGCCATGATGTCCTGCCTCACTCAGCACAGGCCCAGGAACAATGGAGTCAAGTGATCATGGACTGAAACCTCTAAGATTTGACCAGAACAAATTTTTCCTTCTTTAGGTTGCTTTTCTTAGGTATTTCATCACAGTGACAGAAAGCTAATACACCCAGCCAGGCCAGACCCAGTCCAGGCTCCTTCACTCTAGGTGGCAACCAGAACTATTCCATGTCAAGGAGAGGCTGTGAGCTGAGGAAAACAGAAAGTGGCAAGGTGACTATGGTTGAGTGTTTGTGGCCCTGCACAAGTCCTGTGTGCAAATCCTCACATCCAAGGTGATGGTACTATAATGTGAGGCCTTCGGGAGGTGATTAGGTTCCGGGGCAGAGCCTTCATGAATGGAGTTAGTTTCCTGAAAGAAAAAAAAAAAAAAAACAGGCCGGAGAGCCCTACCCCTTCTACCATGTGAGGACACAGAGAAGGATAGGCAACTATGAATCTGGCCTTGATCTTGGACTTCCCAGCCCCTAGAACTGTAAGAAATAAGCTTCTTATATTTATAAGCAACCAATCTTGTTATAGTAACCCAACAGATTAAGACAAAAGATCTCTGAACAAAAACAAATCCCAAAGCTATTTTGTCCCAATTATTCTAGCTTCCCTTTAGACTCCCCATATCTCCATCAAATAAAGTTCACAACAACCTGGGGTCAAACGTGGAGTTCCCTTTTTCTGGGTGGTTTTGAGCAAGTCACTCAACACTGAGTCTCAGTTTATCCTGCTATAAAATGGGCGAGGTGTATCCTCTTGTGGTCATTATATGGGTTACAGAGAAAGCTCTATCAAAGCTTTAGACAGTGTCCAGCTCTTGATGGTATTCTGTAAGTGTTAATAACTGCACTTAACAGTGACTTCTTTCCCCTTTTGAAGATTTTCTTTGTATTTGTGGTTAAATTCACAAAGCAGAAAATTTCATTTTGACTATTTTTAAGTGTACAGTTCAACACACTGGTAATGGTTGTATAGCCGTCACATCACTCATCTCTGGGAGTCACCATTACCCCAAACTGTTAATTCATTCACTGCCTTGTTACTGGCTCTCACTGAGGCCTCTGCCAAGAAAAAAACCTTTCATTGAATGGGAAAAGGCAGGGGTCAGCAAGCAGCTCACAGGCTGCCAACCCCTGATGCAGGGAGACTCAGTAACAATCCGAGCACCTTCTCCCGAGCCCAGGGACAATGTCACCCTTCAGCCTATGCAGCCATAGATAGCATCACAACAATCCCCTGCCCTTCATAGCACACTACACTGAATTTATCACGCAGCTCTCAGAGGCAAGCAGCACCTGAGCCTCTGAGGCCCTTGGTAGCTTTCAGCTACAATGCCAGAAAGAGAATGAAAGCA